TCGGTCGTACAAACCGAGTTAGTACAAAGCGTGCGTGTGTACCATAGTTGATGGGGCTAGAATCTGGTGCGTTAAACTTTGTGCTCAGTCAATATAGGAAGTGGATGTGTGTGTGTGTTGTAGTGTAGTGTGGTGTGTGTGTGTGTTGTAGTGTACTGTGGTGTGTGTTGTAGTGTGTGTGTGTTGAAGTGGTGGGGGCCTCGTAGCCTGGTGGATAGCGCGCAGGACTCGTAATTCTGTGGCGCGGGTTCGATTCCCGCACGAGGCAGAAACAAATGGGCAAAGTTTCTTTCACCCTGAATGCCCCTGTTACCTAGCAGTAAATAGGTACCTGGGAGTTAGTCAGCTGTCACGGGCTGCTTCCTGGGGGTGGAGGCCTGGTCGAGGACCGGGCCGCGGGGACACTAAAGCCCCGAAATCATCTCAAGATAACCAAGTGTGGTGTGGGTGTGACTAGCTGGGTGTTCGTATGTGTGGAGGAAGGAGGCGTAGCCTAATATTTTATGATAAATTTGGTTGCAAAATAGAACTCGAAACAATAGATATAAATTGAAGAAGTTTATATTTAGGGGTAGACATGATAAATACTTTTGAAAAAGGTGGTAGAGTTATGGAACAAATTATAATAGACGCAGTATCAATGGATTGTTTCAAACCTAGTTATATCTATACATTATTCAAAACTGTGACCCGACCAGGGTTCGAACCTGTATTACCAGGACTCACCCCCTGGCGTTCACAGTACCAATACCACTTCACCAGCGATTGTCTATGAGGATTGGTTGGTCCTGGAGCTTAGTGCGCTCCAGGACCCAACACTCCCCGACAACACTCGTGGTGCTGGCCAACTTGAGCACAGTTTTTATCAAATCCTGGCGCATGCTCGGCTTCCACTGAGCCTACACATGTGGAAGAAAGCTTGAATGGTCCTCAAGCCATGAATCACTAAGAATCACCAAGGCTCGAGATTATATATATATATATATATATATATATATATATATATATATATATATATATATATATATATATATATATATATATATAATATATATATATATATATATATAATAATGTGTGTATGTTTGGGTGGACACAAACAGTAGGTTCCTCTTGTGGTTCTCTAGACCTTCTACCTTTTATTATGATCTTAAGATACAGAAGCCTGGCCTCGGGCCGGGCTTGGGGAGCAGAACTACTCCCAGAACCCATCAAGTGTTCAGCGTGTATGAGTAAGCAGCGGCCAGCGACTCGAGAAGGTCAGCTCCAAGACAGGGACCCGGGAGGTGTTGACATTAACAGTGAACTGAAAGAATTGCTCACTATCATTCACGAGAATACGGGGCAGTGCTGGTGGGAAAAAAACTGATACAACCAGCTATTGAATTAAATAATCGAATGTTGCAAGGGAGAAAGGCGGAGGAAGAATTGCGCAATTGCAACAGGTGGAGGTAACATAATTGCTTATAGAGGACGGGTTCTGCAGGGTTTCTTCGTCATTGTGAGTGTGCCTCAAGTTGTCTGGGATGCGAGGCGACCTTGGATAGGTTGTTGTGTGACGGCTTTACCACTTATTTCAAGACATTGTTGTAATGTTAACTGGTGGAGTGTTGGGGGAGAAGCGGGGAGGTTAGATCAAGGGCCACCATACTTGGAGATCCACCTCTAATGAGGTGAATCTCCAAGAGGTAATAGAACACCCGAAACTGAGCTTCAACACATTCATGCATGTTTAACCCTCTAACCCTGTCCATGGAGGACAGAAGAAAATGTAAATATGCTGGTTAGCATTGTAAATGTATGGCAACGTCTGTGGTAGAAAATAATAATTATAAAAAAACTGTCATGTATAGACATTTATTGACGATTCTTGTCCAGTCATGGACGGACTCTGTGACGGGTAACATCCCAGGTCACCTGTTGGTCACGTTACGTGCGAGACGTGGGAAAGGTCGCCGCGGCATTTGATTACGTTAGAGGTACGCCAGGCGCCATCTTGACCCAGAATATTACAGACTGCACATTTACTGTTTAAAGTCCTGCATCACAATTTAAATATTCTTTAGCAGTCTTAGATAATGAAATTGTGCGAGAATGATTCTCAGAAAGTATAGTGAAACTACAGGCCCCCTTGTACCTGCCAAATATGGTACCCTGTTACCAGGTAACTGCCAAATATGGTACCCTGGTACCAGGTAACTGCCAAATATGGTACCCTGGTACCAGGTAACTGCCAAATATGGTACCCTGGTACCATTACGTTCCAGACTATATAGTTACCTGGTACCTGTGGCTGAGGAGTGACAAGTCCCCGGCTTCCTGTCTCCATCATTGTATCTTGATTTTTTAGACCTCTAATTACACCGTAAATAGTTTTCTTCGTTCACATGAGTGGTACGATCGTTTATCAATGTTTTTCTTCGGCAATTACCGGCACCAATGCATTTACTCTCTGTAATTAATTTGTTCTGTAATTAATTTGTTGTTTTGAGTGTCCTTGCAAAGTCGATAAATGTTGTTGTTCTGAAGTTTCTCCTTGAAATATAGGGGCGGTAAATGTGTAGAAAACGGGAGAAAAGGACTTTTTCGCTTAATCATAGAATACTTAAATAACAACACCCAAGGCAAACAGAAAATCAAAATACCGGGGCGGGTGTGTGAGGTTACCGGGGCGGGTGTGCAAGATAACACGCTCTTACTTCACTCTTCTCGTTGACCTTAACTAGGAAACTTCAAATGGTTGAGAGGTTTGCAGCGAGGCTCGTCCTAGAATTACGAGCGATGGGGCAGGAACACGGAAAGAGTTAAGCTCTAACGTCACTGGAGAGAGAGATATAGAGACGACCCTTTCTAAAAAAAAAAAAAACAGTGCCAGACCAATCGGGCTGTGGTGGGCATAAGGGCCTGCGGGCCGCTCCAAGCAACAGCCTGGTGGACCAAACTCTCACAAGTCAAGCCTGGCCTCGGGCCGGGCTTGGGGAGTAGACCTCCCAGAACCCCATCAAGCAGGTATCAATCAGAGAGAGAGAGAGAGAGAGAGAGAGAGATGGATGGATGGATGGATGATAGAGAGCGATAAAATACTTGCGTGGGTTGAAAGAGTGAAAAAATGGAAAAGGGAAAAGATGTGGACAATGAATAATAATAGAGCAAGAGGACATAGATGGAAGCTTCAGAAACCAATGAACCTTGGAGATGTTTGAAGGCTTTCTTTTAGAGTAAGTTTAGTAGGTAAGGGAATGAACTAAATGAACATGTAGATATTATAGAGGTCAGGAGTCATAGCATTAGACAAGCAGCGGCTAGAAAGGCGGGGTCAAAGAGCTAAAGCTTCATTCATCTCTTCTAAAGCAGAGACAAATAGGCAAGTACATAGCGAACTAGCAGAGTTCTACCTACAGAGCTCATTGCAACTTTATAGACCGGAATTCCTAGCTAATTCTTCACATTCCTCTCCCCCACTTTACTTTCCTTTCTTTGTTTCTTTCTCTGATATTTATTTCCGCCTTATCCATTTTTTCCTTGTTCTCTTCGTTCAATTTTTTTTTTATTTTCCTCTTTGTTCACCATTATAAGAGAAAGTGAGGAGGACCGCAGTTCCCACCAGCCCTTCTCCTTCACCTTCTCTTGTCTCCCTTTATTTATATTTCCTCTGTCTCCAACATGTATAACCCCTTCAAGAATCTTCCCCACTGAGAGCATGTCACCCCGCCTTCCCGCCAAAACTGTTGTCGGGATCCCGTCACCACAAACACATCTTTCCCTGATACAGGGGCTAGTCTTCCCCAGTACAAGCCTGCCAACCCTCCCGGACTGGGCGTCTGGAGACTAGCCTCTTAACACCGTGATGTCATTGAAGAAAACAATCTCTTCCGGGAGGCTGGTGGTGTTGGTACTCTTGTGTGCAGGATGAGCAGCGGTGAGGCCGGAAGCTGGCCCAGAATAGGCGGGAAACATGTTCAAAATAAAAGTATCTTGGTGATACTTAAGTTATCCTGAGATTTAAGTTCAAGTTAGATTAGATTCACAGCCTTTAAGCATTAATTGTTGTAATTATCAACGTAGGAGAGGGGGGACCTGCTGCCTGGGTAACAGCTTCTCCCCCGAATCAACCTACCCTGGCTTTGTGCCCTGATGAGGCCACTCCAGACCGACAACCAAAGCGCAACTCCATAGTCTCCTGAGACTGATAGATGCCTACTACTATAGCTTTTCAAATGTAAGCTAAAAATATTATATAGTATTTAAAGTTTATTTCTTTCGTGAGCTTACGGGGAGTGTGTAAAAGCCCTGAGGTGATCCTGAAGGTTCTTTGTGCTGGTGGAAAGCATGTTGAGCGCGTCCCCTCAAAGGGAAGCTTTTAGTTCGGAATGTTGTACTGTTGCTTATGATCTGTGGTTGGCCAGAGCCGCTGCCAGCCGTGGAGTGCGGGGGATTTTTTTTTTTATTAAGTTATGAGGTACATCTGCGGGGGATGAAGTTACTGACCGCCGTCCCTCTCTCAAGCCTCAAGCCAAGAGTTGGCGCTGGCATGATCAATTGGGCTGTTGATGTTAGGAATCTATTCCTCGCTTAATTTTCTTTTTCTGCCTTCTTTATTTTATCTTTGTTTCCAGTCCACGTGCGCCTGGTCTCTAATTTCTCCTTCCCCGTGTTCCGTATTCTTCTTCCGTGGTATATATACAGCAGGATACGGTATACATACAGCCCCGCTCCTGTGCCAGGTAAGCTACTGGCTCACCATAGCCAGTGCTACTTGCCCCGCTCCTGTGCCAGGTAAGCTACGGGCTCACCATAGCCCGTGCTACTTGGAACTTGTTCCGAGTAGCTGAATCTATAACAACAGATATACATACCGTAGCAACAAGAAAATTTGCTCATCTTAAGTTTTCACCAACAGCTGCTGATGTGCCTGGGGGGGGGGGCATAATGCAACTTACTTTTATCAGACAGATGTTAACACGTGTGTAGGTTAATTCCTGTGTTTTCTCTCTCAACAGATGCTCAAGTACGTGCAGGTGTCGCCGTACCGGAGCACGTCCGCCCTGGGGGTGGTGCGACGCCCGGGGGAGGGAGGGGTGGGGGACGACTCTGTCACCCTCTCCTCCCCCTCCACCCGCACCTCCTCCGCCTCCAGCCACGCCTACGCCGCCTCGTCCTCGGGGTCGTCCTCGGGGTCGTCCTCGGGGTCGTCCTCGGGGGCAGGGGCGGGGCGAGTGGTGGGGCGGGCAGACAGTGTTAGCCTCAACAGCTCCATGTCGTGCTCCAGTCTGAGTCAAGACCCACTCAGCTCCCGCTCCTCCTCCTCCACCTCCCTTCACGACACCTCCAAGGTCAGTCCCGGTACACAACACCCGGTACACCTGCACTGGGAGTACTGGTACACAACACCCGGTACACCTACACTGGGAGTCCAGGTACACAACACCCGGTACACCTACACTGGGAGTACCGGTACACCTGCACTGGAAGTACTGGTACACAACACCCGGTACACCTACACTGGGAGTCCCGGTACACAACACCCGGTACACCTACACTGGGAGTACCGGTACACCTACACTGGGAGTCCCGGTACACAACACCCGGTACACCTACACTGGGAGTCCCGGTACACAACACCCGGTACACCTACACTGGGAGTCCCGGTACACAACACCCGGTACACCTACACTGGGAGTCCCGGTACACAACACCCGGTACACCTACACTGGGAGTCCAGGTACACAACACCCGGTACACCTACACTGGGAGTCCCGGTACACAACACCCGGTACACCTACACTGGGAGTCCCGGTACACAACACCCGGTACACCTACACTGGAAGTCCAGGTACACAACACCCGGTACACCTACACTGGGAGTACAGGTACACAACACCCGGTACACTTACACTCGAGTACACAGTTACCAACTGTTTCCTACTCCAATAGTGTATCTGTCTGTCTGTGTGTCTGAGTATGTGTCTCTTTGGTTTACTTTTGTGTCATAATAATGGTTGTCTTATACTGTAGAGTATATGTATTTGTTTATATATTCTTGTGCACTAACTTGATGTATATTGAGACTGTTGGCGTGCGTCGGGTTGTGGCTTTGTGATGGCTTTTCAGTGTCTGATCTTTGGGTCTTGTGCCTTGTGTTGTAAAGTTGTACTTCTGTGTTGTGTTTCAGACTGTCTCTATACCACCCACCACCACCACCACCAGCAACAACAACAACAACGCATCTACGGCTAAGGTAAGTCTAAGTGTCTTGTCTTAAAGAGAGTAGAGTGACGGGGAAGTGTAGTGTTAAATGATTTGTTGTTGAGGAGGAAGGTGGGGCCTAGGTGGCCGGCCCCCCCGTGTATGGCCCAGGTGGCCGGCCCCCCCCCCCCCACCCCGTGTATGGCCCAGCCTTGTTGGCCACATACACCTGGCCTCTCGCCGGAAATGACTGCACCTTGCGCAAGTTGTGCCAGATAAACGACACAAGAAAATATATATATATATATGCTGGTTAGTATTGTAAATGTGCGGCCACGTCTGTGGTTAGATAATAATAAAAGTAAAAACCAAACAAAAAATTATTAGATGCTTGGTGAGGCCGGGCTCCCCGCCAGGTGAGGCCGGGCTCCCCGCCAGGTGAGGCCGGGCTCCCCGCCAGGTGAGGCCGGGCTCCCCGCCAGGTGAGGCCGGGCTCCCCGCCAGGTGAGGCCGGGCTCCCCGCCAGGTGAGGCCGGGCTCCCCGCCAGGTGAGGCCGGGCTCCCCGCCAGGTGAGGCCGGGCTCCCCGCCAGGTGAGGCCGGGCTCCCCGCCAGGTGAGGCCGGGCTCCCCGCCAGGTGAGGCCGGGCTCCCCGCCAGGTGAGGCCGGGCTCCCCGCCAGGTGAGGCCGGGCTCCCCGCCAGGTGAGGCCGGGCTCCCCGTCAGGTGAGGCCGGGCTCCCCGCCAGGTGAGGCCGGGCTCCCCGCCAGGTGAGGCCGGGCTCCCCGCCAGGTGAGGCCGGGCTCCCCGTCAGGTGAGGCCGGGCTCCCCGCCAGGTGAGGCCGGGCTCCCCGCCAGGTGAGGCCGGGCTCCCCGCCAGGTGAGGCCGGGCTCCCCGCCAGGTGAGGCCGGGCTCCCCGCCAGGTGAGGCCGGGCTCCCCGCCAGGTGAGGCCGGGCTCCCCGCCAGGTGAGGCCGGGCTCCCCGCCAGGTGAGGCCGGGTTCCCCGTCAGGTGAGGCCGGGCTCCCCGCCAGGTGAGGCCGGGCTCCCCGCCAGGTGAGGCTGACCCAATACTTAACTCTATATAAATAGGTGCAAACCATCAAAGCTCTAATAATGTGTTAACAAGTTAATCAAGACAAATTGTGACAATGTATTAAAATGGAACAAGTGTATATGACTTATGTGGAGGTGAATATTGGTGTACTGTTGGTGGTGGAGGAGCGGAACATTGTGGGAGACAGCGGCGCTCAAGTTAATACTTAGTCTACCGTGAAGGGTTTACGGGTACTTGCCTAGTTGTACTCACCTGACTCTGCGAGCGGGGGGGGGGGGGTTGAGTCTTGTCTTGTTCGTCCCGCTTCTCAACCATCGGTCAACCGGTGTGCAGGTTTCTGAGCCTATTGGTATCCATCATCTCTATATTTGAAGCTTTGTATGCAGTCGGCCCACTAGTTGGCATGGGGGCACCGCACCCCCATTAAGGGAACTAGTAATTTCCCACAATAAAGGGGGGTTTCCTTTTCCCCATTTCCCTTTGCGCAGGTGACATGCGCACTCATTACTCAGGTTCATGCGCACAACCTGTACACCAGGTTATTAAAGATTGTGTGGCGGATCCAAGGAGGTAAATTCTCATAAATGCAGATGAGTATCATCCACTCATCTTCATTTGTTCATCACCATATCTCCCACCTATCACCAGCCACCGTCAATACACGTGAAATCTTTGGCTTTCCAATTTCATACGTAATGAGATCTTGAACGCTTCCTCTACTTCTACCTACCCGTTTGCTAGCATAGTGCACCCAAGGGCACTATGGTCTGACGTGACACTGATATGACAGTATACTCCCAGAGTCGAGTACCGCGTTAATTCGCCAGATGGTCCACCCACTGCTCGCTCGAATCTAACTTACCCACTAGTTGGCCTTCTCCTTGGGAGTCATCCTGCGCATCCGGTGACTCCTTTGACATCGCCTGGGAAGCCTGTGTGCGATTTTCCCACAGGACTTGTTGGCCTCTTGTTGTGACGGGTGGTTCCTGGCGGGGGCGTCGGGACGGCTCTGCTTGAAGGACAGTTTTTCCGCGTCACTAGACCCAAGCCTGCGGCTGGGACGGGGCCTTGGAAATATTACCTAGTTTCCCCATGACTGAAACTGGCGGCATGATATGACTGCATGGACTGCGGCTGTGGGAAGAAGACACAATGGTGTCTGCGTGAGACGGGGGATGTCTTGCTACAGGTTCCAGGGAGCGAGTAGCCTTTCTAGAGATTTTTCTTGAAAGAAAATGTATGGTGTATGTGTACGGGACCTCCGCCCTTACCCAGCTGAACGACAGGCGAGGAACACGTGTTCGTTCGTAGAGGATTCGTCAAGCATTTACGTGTTCTATTAGGAAACCTCTACGTCTTTCCTCTGTATTTAGTAAACAGGGGCCAGATTCACGAAGCAGTTACGCAAGTACTTACGAACCTGTATATCTTTTCTCAATCTTTGACGGCTTTGTTTACAATTATTAAACAGTTAATGAGCTCCGAAGCACCAGGAGGCTGTTTATAACAATAACAACAGTTGATTGGCAAGTTTTCATGCTTGTAAACTGTTTAATAAGTGTAAACAAAGCCGTCAAAGATTGACGAAAGGTGTACACGTTCGTAAGTACTTGCGTAACTGCTTCGTAAATCTAGCCCCAGATTATGAGCTTTGAAACTCTGCGAAGTCGCACTCGATCTAAGGTTAATACTGTTATAGACAATCTTGTAGTTCATATTTTGTTATAGAAGCAAACCAAGCCGCCAAGATCACCTTGTCGTGCCAGCTCGGATATTGGGACCGGTGGTGTGGGAACATTCAAGTTAGTGAATCTGGTCGAATCCTGGGCTGGTCCGGTCGACTGTATCACGTGACACGGGGTTGGTAGGCAAGTCTTGGTGGGGAGGTGGGGGGGGGGGGGGTGTTGTGAGCGCCCTGGTGACAGTGCTGAGGTAGAGGGTCCTGGATCATGACTAGGGTAACCTGGGCTCTCCTAACCTGCCGCCGCTTGTCTCACTGCCTCTTTAATTTGATTTGCGGGCCGCTCCAAGCAACGGCCTGTTGTTGACCAGACCACACACTAGAAGGTGAAGGGACGACGACGTTTCGACTTGAGACTTGTTTTCTGTCGACTTGTTTCTCACAATAGACTTGAGAATGGTCCAGGACGGACCGAAACGTCGTCGTCACTTCACCTTCTAGTGTGTGGTCTGGTCAACATACTTTAGCCACGTTATTGTGACTCATCGCCTGCAAACAGCCTGTTGGATCAAGTTATTACAAGTCGAGCCGGGCTTCAGGTCGGGCTCGGGGGGTAGAACAGCTCCCAGAACCCCCTCCAGCCTTTGACTCTCTGCACCTATTTTCACATTCAAATTACGACTTTTTACACCGAAAATATGCCAATTACTGAAAACGGCGATGGGTCATATTTAGCCCAAACCCCCCTGCAGTTTTCAAAATATCTGAAATGTCGGAAATTTGACTCCTGAGTGTGGTCTTTGAGCCGAATTTTGACTCTGCAACTATTTTCATTTTCAAATTACGAATTTTTATACCGAAAATATGCCAATTACTGAAAATGGCGATGGGTCATATTTTGCCCAAACCCCCCTGCAGTTTTCAAAATATCTGAAATGTCTGAAATTTGACTCCTGAGCGTGATTTTTGAGCCGAATTCTGACTCTGCCCCTATTTTTATTTTCAAATTACGACTTTTTATACCGAAAATATACCAATTACTGAAAACGGCGATGGGTCATATTTTGCCCAAACCCCCCTGCAGTTTTCAAAATATCTGAAATGTCGGAAATTTGACTCCTGAGCGTGATTTTTGAGCCGAATTCTGACTCTCTGCATCTATTTTCATTTTCAAATTACGACTTTTTATACCGAAAATATGCCAATTACTGAAAACGGCGATGGGTCATATTTTGCCCCAAACTCCCCTACAGTTTTCAAAATATCTGAAATGTCGGAAATTTGACTCCTGAGCGTGATTTTTGAGCCGAATTCTGACTCTCTGCACCTATTTTCATTTTCAAATTACTACTTTTTATACCGAAAATATGCCAATTACTGAAAACGGCGATGGGTCATATTTTGCCCAAACCCCCCTGCAGTTTTCAAAATATCGTAAATGTCCGAAATTTGACTCCTGAGTGTGATTTTTGAGCCGAATTCTGACTCTCTGCACCTATTTTCATTTTCAAATTACGACTTTTTATACCGAAAATATACCAATTACTGAAAACGGCGATGGGTCATATTTTGCCCAAACCCCCCTGCAGTTTTCAAAATATCTGAAATGTCGGAAATTTGACTCCTGAGCGTGATTTTTGAGCCGAATTCTGACTCTCTGCATCTATTTTCATTTTCAAATTACGACTTTTTATACCGAAAATATGCCAATTACTGAAAACGGCGATGGGTCATATTTTGCCCCAAACTCCCCTACAGTTTTCAAAATATCTGAAATGTCGGAAATTTGACTCCTGAGCGTGATTTTTGAGCCGAATTCTGACTCTCTGCACCTATTTTCATTTTCAAATTACTACTTTTTATACCGAAAATATGCCAATTACTGAAAACGGCGATGGGTCATATTTTGCCCAAACTCCCCTGCAGTTTTCAAAATATCGTAAATGTCCGAAATTTGACTCCTGAGTGTGATTTTTGAGCCGAATTCTGACTCTCTGCACCTATTTTCATTTTCAAATTACGACTTTTTACACCGAAAATATGCCAATTACTGAAAACGGCGATGGGTCATATTTTGCCCAAACCCCCCTGCAGTTTTCAAAATATCTGAAATGTCGGAAATTTGACTCCTGAGCGTGATTTTTGAGCCGAATTCTGAGACTCCAGGTATGCCATGACTTCCATCAGTGGACGTGTTGCTACCTGCCTGCTTCTTCTTACCTTCTCATGTCTACTCCTGTTGACCTGACTCCATGACCTACCATGGCGTAGTTGACCT